CACCGCTCTGCTATCCACCCAGCAACTTGGGGAGCGTGGCTCCCTCGGTTGCTGGGAGCGACCGAGGGAGCCACATCCCCCCAAGCCTCCAGCTCTCCTGAGCTGCTCTCTGCCCAGCGGCTTGGGGGAGCAACCGAGGGAGCTACGTCCCCTCAAGCTGCCGGCTCTCCCACTCTGCTCTCTGCCCAGCACCTGTGTATGCAAATAAACCTGTCATCTTTGGCAGGTTAATTTACATACTCACTTCTGATTGGCTGGTGAGCGTAGTGGAGGGACGGTCAATTTACCTGTTTCTCTTTTATTATATAGGATATCACCATATACTCATTCTTTAGTATATCATCATTTCAGAATTGTTTCCTATAATTCTGCAATGGAAAAATAAAATAGGCTGGCTTACTTCTGTACTGTGGTAGGGAGTACTATAAAATAAAAAGGAGCTCTGTCCAGGTGGCTCAGTTGGCTGGTGTGTCGACCCATACACCAAAAGACTGCGGGTTCAATTCCCAGTCAGGGCACATACCTAGGTTGCAGGTTCAATCCCCAGTCAGGGCACATACAGGAGGCCCAACTGTCTCTCTCTGTCTCTTTCTCCAAATCAATAAACACATCCTTGGGTGAGAATATATATATATACTAGAGGCCAGGTGCAAGACATTCATGCACAGGGGGTGGGGATGTCCCTCAGCCTGGCCTGTGCCCTACCGCTCTGCTATCCACCCAGCAACTTGGGGAGCGTGGCTCCCTCGGTTGCTGGGAGCGACCGAGGGAGCCACATCCCCCCAAGCCCGCCACTGCTGCTATGTTCGCCAGCCCTGAGCCCTGCTTCTGGCTGAGCAGTGCTCCCTCCCCACTGTGGGAGGGCACTGACCACTAGGGGACAGCTCCTGCATTGAGCGTCCACTCCCTGGTGGTCAGTGTGCATCTTAGTAACCGGTCATTTCGCCATTTGGCCGATTTGCATACACACATACACACACACACACACACACACATATAATTTATTATATATATGTACAGGGGCAAGGGGTCCCTCAGCCTGGCCTGTACTCTCTCCAATCCAAAACTTCTCGGGGATGTCAAACTGCCATAGGGTTCGGGCCTAAACCGGCAGTCGGACATTTCTCTCACAATCCAGGACTGCTGGCTCCTACCCGTTCATCTGCCTGCCTGTCTGATCACCCTTAACCATCTCTGCCTGCTGGCCTGATGCCCCTAACTGCTCCCCTGTTGGCCTGATCACCCCTAACTGCGCTCCTGCTGGCCTGATCGCCCCTAACCACCTCTGCCTCAGCCCCTGCCACTGTGGCTTGGTCTGGAAGGACATCAGACATCCGGAAGGCATCCGTCGATCTGGTCTAATTAGCATATTACCCTTTTATTAGTATAGATATATATATGACTGAGAAAAAGTTATTTACCTGCTAACCATCATGCTAAACTAGTAAGAATAGATAAAGGTTAGAGCTCTAAAGACAGAAAGATGTGTGTGCTTTCAATCCCAGTTCCATCCCCATGACCTCTGTGGTTTGGGTGTGGTGTGACAAGAAATAACAGATACCTTTTCATAAGCACCTATTCTGTGCCAATATCTGTTAAGAACTTGACTTACTTTATCTCATGAAATCCTTACAACCTTGAGTTAATTAATATTACTATTCTAAATTTTAAAATGAGGATATCAAGGTTTAGATTAAATAACCATAAATATCACATTTTCAAAAGAAATAGGACTTTACTACAACTCAACAACAAAAAACAACTGACCTGATTTAAAAATGGGCAAAGACATGGGGATCTTAAGTACAGCATAGGGAGAAGAAAACCAAGATGGCAGTGTAGGTAAAGGTGGGTACTTGCTGTCCCCACAACCACATCAAAATTCCAACTAAAATGCAGAGCAACCATGAGTCAAAACCTCCTGAAATTTGGCTGAATAGAAATCCTACAACTAGAGAAGTAAAGAAGAAAGCACATTGAGACTGGTAGGAGGGGCAGAAGCATCAACAGGCTTGTGGAGTGGTTTGTTTTGTTTTTTAATCAGAAGGGATAACTCTGCTGTGGAGGCCACTTATGAGGAGCAAGAGGTCCCAGCCCCACACCAGACTCCTCAGCAGAGGGTTCAGAGCTGGTAAGAGAAGCCCCTGTAACTTCAGGCTGTAAAAACAAGTGGGTATTATGGCTGAGTGGCACAGAGGCTGCTGGAGATCCAGGAACTCCCTCTTACAGTCTGGTACACAGACTTACTCGGACTCAATCCCTCTGGGCTCCAACATTGGGGTGCCCACTTAAAAGGAACCTGGGACATTCAGGAAGGAACTGGATAATCTGGCATCAGGACAAGAACTCAGGAGGGGTTTCTCCCAGATAGAGGTGCTCTCAGGGGTCACTGTTCCTGTGCTGGGGCCTCTCCACTTGCAGAGCTGACTGGCAGCTATATCTGAGTTTCCATCAGCATGGCCCACACTGTTCACTCTTCCCTAGTGACTATTTGGGATCCTGGCCAGTACAATTTGCAGCCCACCCAAGCTGTTTGCAGCAGCTTTTCCATATGAATGGCCATATCTTGGCTCAGGCTTCAGGCTTTCCTAAAATCTCACAAACAAGCAGCAGCTGGTGTCAACATGTGCCATACCTATCAATAAAAGGCTCAAGACCTAGCACTAGCACAAGCCTGCCTTGCTTCACAGCTGGGCCTTTCCTGGGCACTTCCAAGCCCAATAAAAGTAGCAGCCATCTGCAGATCTCTCTGTAGCTCTTGCTGCATGGCCCTAGGCAGTGGCTGACTTTGTACCTCCCAGGAGGCCCCAGAGCCAGTGCACCTTGTGGACAGCTTCAGACCATAGCATATTACTACTCCACACATCCACAAGTTACACACTCAAAGGGCAAACAGTGAGCACCAAAGCCCCACTGTAACAAGTTCTGCTCCATAGAATAGTCACAACTGGTTCTCACAGCCAATTTGCCTGGAGGTCAATTCCTCCCAGTATGCCAACAGCAATCAAAGCTCAAATACTACAAGACTGTGCACACAGCCCACAAAGGGGCTCACCTAGAGTGCCCAGCTCAGGTGACTGGGCAGGCTGAGCTACTGGGCCATGTAGGACACCTACAACACAAGGCCACTACCAATTCCAGGAGACATAGAAGTCTACCTAATACATAGAAACAAACACAAGGAAGCAGCCAAAATGTGTAGACAAAGAAACATGTCACAAATGAAAGAAATGGAAGCAAGCAAATTACTGGATACAGAGTTCAAAACAATGATTATAAGGTTGCTCAAGAATCTTAATGAGGGATTCAAGGGACTTAATGAGAGCTTCAATGTACTTAGTAAGACTTTCAAGGATCTTAGTGGGAATGTCAAAAACATGAAAAAGGACTAGTCAGAAATTAAGCATACACTAACTGAAATAATGAATAATTTACAGGAATTCAACAATAGAGTAAAGGATCTGAGAATTATATCAATGATTTGGAATATGAGGAAACAAAAAACACCTAATCCAAAAATATGAAGACTGTATAAGGAGCCTCTGGGACAACTTCAAGGGTACCAACATTTGCATTAAAGGGGTGCCAGAAGGAGAAGAGAGAGAGCAAGGTATTGAAAACCTATTTGAAGAAATAATGACAAAAAACTTACCCTACCTGGTGAAAGAAATAGACTTACAAGTCCAGGAAGTTCAGAGACTCCCAAAAAAGAGGAACCCAAAGGGGCCCACACGAAGACACATCATAATTAAAATGCCAAGGGCAAAACACATAGAGAGAATCTTAAAAGCAGCAAAAGTAAAGCAGTTAGTTACCTACAAGAGAGCACCAATACGACTTCCAGTTGATTCCTCACCAGAAACTTTGTAGACCAGAAGGGAGTGGCAAGAAATATTCAAAGTGATGAATATCAAGGAATACAACCAAGATTACCCTTTCCAGCAAAAGTATCATTTAGAATTGAAGGTCAGATAAAGAGCTTCACAGACAAGAAAGAGCTAAAGGAGCTCATCACCACCAAACCAGTACTGCATGAATTGTTGAAGGGTATTCTTTAAGAAGAGAAAGAAGAAGAAGATAAAGAAAAAGATTAAAAAAAATATGAACAATAAAATGGTAATAAATGCATACCTATCAATAATTGCATCTAGAAATCAAAAGAAACAAACAAGTAATCTAATGAACAAAATAAACTGGTGAATAAAATAGAATCAGAGGCATGGAAAATAGAACAGACTGATGAATTTCAGAGGGAAGGGTTTGGGAGGGACAGACATTAACTAAGGGATTAAAGATCTTATATGTATACTAGAGGCCTGGTGCATGGAATTCATGCACCGGGCAGTGGAGGGGGAGGATCCCTCAGCCTGGCCTGCACACTCTGGCAGTCTGGGAGCCCTCAGGGAATGTCTGACTAATGGCTTAGGCCCACTCCCCTCTGCCCCCAGGGAGTGGGCCTAAGCCATTAGCTGGACATCTTTAGCAAGGCCTTGGAGGCAAGAGAGGCTCCCACCACCGCCGCTGGGCTCACCAGCCGAGAGCCCGGCTTCAGGCGCTCCGCCTATAGGAGAGTACTGACTACCAGGGGGCAGCTCCTGCATCGAGCATCTGGCCCCTGGTGGTCAGTGCGCATCATAGCAACTGTCATTCTGCCATTTGGTTGATTTGCATATTAACCTTTTATTATATAGGATTATATAGGATATGCATTACCTATGGACAAAGACAATAGGGTGGTGAAGGTCTGGGATGGGGTGGGTAAGGGGTGGAAAAGGGGGACATCTGTAATACTCTCAACAATAAAGGTTTTTTAAACAATCAAGTACAGCACAGGGAATATCGTCAATAATATTGTAATAGCCATGTGTGATGTCAGGTGGGCACTGGAAATATCCAGAGGAACACTTTGTAAACTATATGATTGTTTAACCACTATGTTGTATACTGAAACTAATACAAAATAATAATGAATGTAAACTGTAATTTTAAAAAACTTGAAATTAAAAATATGGGCAAAGAACTTAGACATTTCTCCAAAGAAATACACAAATGGCCAATAAGCACATGAAAAGATGCTCAGAATGACTAATTATTATGGAAATGCAAATCAAACTTACCATGAGATACCCCTACACACTCATGAGTATGACTATTAAAAACAAATGAACCTTGAAGACATATGCTAAGTGAAGTAAGCCAGTCACAAAAAAACACAAATATTTTATGACTGCACTTATATTACGTTATTATAGAGTAGCCAGATTCATAGAGACAGACAGTAGAATGGCAGTAGACCTGGTGGGGCTGGGAGGTAGTGTTTAATGCAGCAAGTTGTCTTGCTGTCAGAATTGTTCCATCAATGAATTATTTATTCAAAATATCATTAAATAAGTACTACAGGATTGTATGTCCATGAGTCATAAAGGTTAAAGTGGGTGTGCTAAACAAAGAAAACTGATTACTAATTCATTTATTTTACTAAGACCTAGATAACACTTTTATGCAAGCTACCAAACTGCACCTATAAAATAACAGAAATGTCAAACTAAACAGATACATTTTAAATACATATATATATTAGAGAGAAAGGGAGAGAGATAGAAACATCAATGATGAGAAAGAATCATTTATCAGCTGCCTCCTGCACACCCCCTACCAGAGACCGTGAGGTAAGAAAGGACCCCCATATCTGGGAAATACCTCCCAGTCAAAAAGTGTTATTGTTAATGACAAACACATAAAGGCCAGAGTTCAGTTTATAGACAAGGAAGTGTTTCTCTATTTTTTCTCTGTAATGAGGATATCATATTAAGCATATTCAATTACCCAGGCATGTCCCCTGACTGGGAATTGAATGTTGACCTCCTGGTTCATAGGTCGACACTCAACCACTGAGGCACACTATCTGGGCAAGCGATACATTTTTATTACTTCCTCTATTTCAATGTTCAAAATAAGCAGAATATCCCAATAATTGCTTAATTTCTGTCTTGAAAAGACTCTAGGCCAGGGGTGGGCAAACTTTTTGACTCAAGGGCCACAATGGGTTCTTAAACTGGACTGGAGGGCCGGAACAAAAGCATGGATGGAGTGTTTGTGTGAACTAATATAAATTCAAAGTAAACATCATTACATAAAAGGGTACGGTCTTTTTTTTCAATAGTTTTATTGCCCACGGCTGCTCTAGGCATTGCTTACAAAACCCTATAAAAGTTATTTTTAACAGTGATGTTATAGAAATCATCCATCTTCATACAATGCCCTAATGACAAATATATGGTGCCCAAAAGAAAGACAAGACCAAGATTAAGGCATGCCCCATGAGCCTAATTCAGCCACCGTGCAGACTGTATTCTGAAGGTTTGAGTCATCCTGGAGCCAGCTATACATGAAGAAGAGGAGGGGTTCAGAGATTTGTAGAATTCATAGCAATGATTTGTAAGTCATAAGCTTCCTGAGGGCTTTACTTCTAATTTTTGAAGAGCTTTACATTTTTATCTGATTTAAGATTTTCTATTTGTATTGGTCTCTGAAACTCATTATACATTGCATTTCACCTGCATTAGTTTTCATTATTATTCATTAGGTTTGTAAGAAGAATAGGCACAAAACTGCTTATTCTATCCTCCATGGTCTACCACCTCACTGCTTTCCATAGACTGCACTAAACAAAGGCCTACTGAAGAAGGGCAAGGGTGCTGGTTTCAGTATCCCCATGTCTACGGACTGCTCAGTTTGCATGTGCTTACAGATTAGAGCCAAATATGGTATTTATATTCTCCTGGTTTGTCACAGGTTTCTAAGAGCAAAATGCAGAAGAAACGCAATCAAACAGAGTATGAGGAAATTTGGGAGGAAGAAAAATACAAAGCTGTTCAAATGATATCATAAAGACAAAACATTGAATGGCTTTAAAAAGTGAAAGAAGAAAAATAAGACACAATGACCTTTAAAAATGACACTAAGATTTTTAGATTATGCATAAGGGAGCAGGAAAATAGGCCCTATGGCCTTTAAAAAGAATATTAAGATTTTTAAATATTCTACATGAAGTCAAAAAGTGTTATTGTTAATGAAAAACACATAAAGGCCAAAGTTCAGTTCATAGACAAGGAAGTATTTCTCTATTTTTTTTGTAATGAGGATATCATGTTAAGCATATTCAATTACACTGTCATTCATTAACCTGGATTATTCTCTGCAAAGAAATGATCAAAGAATTGAAAGTACAATTGTCCTAGAAATTCAAGCCTAGTTTCAGTTTATCTTTCAGAAAGAAAAAAAGAATCCAGTGAAACCTAGATGAAAAGAAAAAAAAGGAATACATCTTGGGGTAAATGGATGGTGGTAGAAGCAATAAAAGGTACTGTTCAATTCTTGGAAGTCTGATACCAAGCAGAAGAATAACATCACATGGAGTTTTTCTCAAGCATACCTATTTTATTAAATGCTTCTTGTAGTTCCTCCAGCTCCTCCCGAGAAATGGTAGTGGTACTATTTTCCATCTTGACAGGAAAGACTTCCCTCAGGTCTTTATACCTAAAAAAAAAAGAAAAAAAGAAAGAAAGAAAATAAAAAGCAATATTATAAAAAGAGCCTTTTACGAACATTTATCTAAGCAAATACAGAGTCCACAGGCAATAAAATATCTAAAAGGAATCACGTGAGAGGTCTGGCTGACAAGGAAGAAATAGAAATGGATCCCAGGGTAACAAATACCTGTTTTTCATACCCTGTGCTAGTTCTTAATAGCCCGCATCATTTTCATGTACATTTTACCCCACAATATCAGTAAAATATGCACTTCAAGTTTGAGAGAAGTGTAACATTTGTAAACATAAAGAAAGAGATAAAAAGTAAAATTTTAATACATGAGCCGTGTCCACAAATAGAATTTTACAGTAAGTGGAGTCTGCACGTCTGGATGATGGAGCTGTGGCTTTCATGGTCAGCTTTACAATATGCAGCCACTGCCACCAACTCTCTCTTCCCAGGGGAGATGTCTTTCCCAGATATGGGGGTCCTTTCTTACTCTGAGCAAGTGATACAAACTGAAGGGGGAAAATCCAGTAAAACTGAGTTGTAACAAAAACAAACAGGTGGTAGTCATTGTAGAAAGTAATTGGTAACATATGACCCAAACAGAAAATAGCTTTGGTGGTAGTGAGCACAGCTGCTTTCCAAAACATAATTAAAATTACCCATAATCCCACTATCCAGAAACATCAACTGGTATCACTTTATTATCTATATCTATCTGTTGTACTTTCAAGTACATGAATACCTTTTTAAGGGGTGAAATATGTTAGTATATTATATTTTTGCATGAATATGTTTCCATGTTATTTATCAATGTTGTATGTTATATGTTTCCATATTATTTATCAATACAACTAGAGGCCCGGTGCATGACATTCGGGCACTGGGGGGTATGGGGGTCCCTCAGCCCGACCTGCACCC